AATCCAAAAAAGCATACAACTGCCAATTTTTTCTGAATTGCGACCTCTCAAGAAAATTACAAGATCTAATGCCCATTTTCAATGTGATTGTCATGTTTGTAAACTTGCAAGAACTCCTAAAATTGGTAATTTTACAAAAAACGGTATTTTACCCCCAAGAAAAGGAATATTAGTGGAAAGTTTAAATACTACTACCTCCTGTAAGTATAAGATCCCTTAATTAATTGAGACCAACGTATCTATTTCTTCTTAAAATTTAGGTAATCCTAAACGACCGTGTTTCGAAAAACGCTGTAGTTCCTGTTTTTCTGTTATTGCAAGAGGAAAGACACATAAATGTAATCTTTCAACAAGATTTGATAACTTAAACAAGGAGCTATTAGAATCTACATCAAAATTTCAACAGCAGGTCATTTCTTCACTAGTAAAACAAAACATTAATAAAAAAAATAAATTAAAAACTACTTCACTTTCGCTGATTCAATCAAAGGGAGGACAACCTCTTACCGTTGTTGTTAATCCAAAGACAACTGAAGATAACGTTCAGAAAAAACAACTGCTATCAGTAGATGACTTTTTAAAAATACAAACAAATTTTAATCTTAGCCAAAAAACAACTTGTGGAATAGCAAGTGTTATCAGAGTAGCTACTAAAAACCGCAAAGTTATCGAACCCGACTTGAAGAGGAAAATTTCAAATAACATTCATTCCGTCGATAATTTTTTTGGAATAAAGTGTTTTGATTTTGTGAATATAAAGGCTAAGGTTTCGACTGATGCTAAAGAACTTGTAGTTTACTGCAAGGATCTTGATGGATTCATTGAATACGTTAAGGAAAATCGACAATCATCTGAGGTTCATTTGAAATTTTGAATAGATGGAGGTGGAGGGTTTTTAAAAATATGTTTATCCATTCAATCAACTGAAAATGTGGAATTGGAAAAACATCGACAAGAGTACATGGAAGGAATAGCTGCTAAACGATTTAAAGACTCAGGTGTGAAAAAATTGTTTATTCTTGGGTTAGCGCAATGCTCACAAGAAAACTATGAAAATGTGTCAAAATTATGGTCTGCAATTAACATTAACGATTTTGAAGGAACAATTGCAACTGATTTAAAACTTGCAAATATTCTAATCGGCATCATGTCGCACAGCAGTCTTTTCCCCTGTACATGGTGTTACGCCAGAAAAGATAAACTTTGCGAACGTGGCACTTTAAGAAGTACTACTAACACATTACAAAATTATTCCGCTTGGCTTAAAGCGGGAGCTGTAAAGGAGAAGGCAAAAGAATACAAAAATTGCATTCATCCGTCGCTTTTCTCAACTCCCTTAGATAAAACGTTTTTAAATATTATTCCTCCACCGGAACTACACCTAATGCTTGGCGTTGTAAATACGTTGTTTACGCATATGTTAATAGATTTTGAAAAGGAAGCCTTGGCATGGGCAAAACATTCAAATGTTCAACGTGAAGTAACTCATGGCGGTCCCGCTTTCAAGGGAAACGCGTGCAAAACACTTTTAGATAAAATTGATGTCTTACGACGAGATTGCAGCCTGGGCTGCCTAAAATTTGTGAAAGTCTTTGAAGACTTTAAAGTAGTTGTTAAATCATGTTTTGGTCAAGTTTTAAATCCAGATTTTAAAAATTTTATTGCGGCCTTCAAGAAGAGTTACCTGGAACTAGAAATTAGTGTAACCCCTAAAGTTCATGCAGTTTTTTTTCATATCGAAGATTTCTGTGATAAAACGCAACAGGCCTTGGGCTTCTTTAGTGAACAGGCAATGGAGTCTGTGCATTTTGATTTTAATTCGGTATGGAAAAAATACAAAGTCTCCAAGAACCATTCAAACTACCCAGAGAGGTTACAACGGGCTGTATGTGAATATAATAGTCTTCACATTTAAGTTTTTTACCTAAATATGCAAACTTGTTACAATTTTAATTCTTGGAGTTGTATTAAAAAAATATAATTACTTAGCTTTATTTTTTTTTCCGCAAAAAAATTATTTTCTAAATGAAATTCAAAAACGGCTCAGCAGATTTTTTCCTACCTGGCATTAAAATAATCAGGAACTATTAACAAAACATGCAGAACAAAAAAATCAGAGGTGCAAGCACTTTTGGGTTGAACTTAATCGAGGCTAGGCGTGATTAACTATTAATACATTTATCTCCACGCGGTCTATAATTTAAACTTTATTGTTGTCAACATTCGATAAAGAAATACCTTGTTATGGCCTAGGCCGATAAAAATTTTTATGAGGCAAGTAATTAGTTCGATTTTTTCTCGCTAGGGGTATTGTTTTGACAAATTAATCCTTTTCTAAGAAATTAACGTACTAAACTGGTTTAATTTATTTATAATAAGCACTAATTTGTTTGTTTTACTGTTATAACATTATAATGTTTAATATTTTTCATTAAATTATTGTAAAATTAAATATGAATAATAAAACAAAAAGTGTGGTTAGGACATTGCAATTTGACGTTTATGTGGATTTCACAGTTGTTTTCTTTTTCTACGATTTAAATTATCTTTAAATTTTAATTTGCTTTAAGTTTTCAGTGAAATTAAATGTTAAACACAGCGTAAACATTCCAAACTACCCATTTTTTTAATAAAAATGCAAACAAATTGAAATTTGATACCTATTTATTAAACAATTAATTGAATTCAATGTAATAGCAAGAGGGTAAGTAAACCATTTTCTTACAAAAATCCATTTCTACTTAAATCATGTAATTAGGTATTGTCAAACTATTACTGCTTCTAAAAGGAATAATAATTATTGTACATTTAATGTAATCTTTGGCTAATAAATAAATGAGGTTCTAAAAAAGTGAGGTTAGGGCGCTTTCATGTTGAATTAAATTGACCTATATAAAGTGCTTTGAAGATAAAATGTTGTATGCCATTCGGCCAAGAAGTGTCTTTTTGTGCTTCGCTCAATTGTAGGCCTCCGCTACGCGTCGGCCTTCAAACTTTGAGCTTAGCACAAAAAGCCTTACTTCTTAACCTAATGACATAAATAACTATTTTACTGAAGAACAGGTAAGTCAATTACATTCAAATCGCTTAACATAACCAAAGAAAAAACTTTTATATTTTTAGAGACAATAATAATAATATGGACAATATAAACAATGTGGACAATGTGGAAAACCAACCCTCTGTCCAAAAAAACAAATCTGGCCAATGTATAGGACGAGGTGAAATAATATTACTTTTTACTGGATATTATAAGAGCTCAAATTTTGACAGAATTTTTTTTTCAGCATAATTTCACATGAATTTAAAAAAAGAAAAATATTGCGTATGTAAAACTTGATTTTTTTACAAATTCACAGGAATATCGAAGTTATAACAATTTTGAAAGATTTATTGTTTATTTGAAATATTTTAGAACCGCTGGATTTTTTACAATTTATGCCTTTATTTATTTATTTTAATAATTTTGTAATTACGATACATTTTTCTAATTTAACAGACATTGTAGCTCTTTAAATAAAAATAATACCCATATAAGTATACAGATAGAAGGATACTTGGTGCACCCTATATGTTGTATTGTAATTATGTATGTTGTTAAATATACCTACCTATGTTTTTAAATTTTTTTTATTGTGACGGGCGAACAGAAGTTATTTTTATATGCTTTTTTAAGCAACCTTTCTGGTGTATATCTATGCTATAGCCAAAGAACACAAAAGTGTTTTGGGCCTAACCCAATACATCTTTTTAGACACTCCTTCCAAAACTTTATTTGAAACGACATTGGTCCTAATGTGAAGTTGCGAGCCTAAAGAAAACTTTAAGAGATAACTTTATAGAAAAATTAAAACCTGCAATTTTAGTATATTTATTGTTTGTAACAAAAGCTTAAAAAATAAAATTTTCCTAAAAATTACAATATTTAGTAAATATCTCTCTATAAATAGAAAACATATTTTTAATTTTTAAGTTGAGTTTCTCCTTAATGAATCATTTATTATCTAAGATTTTAACCATCGACGGAGCCCTATAGTTCTTTGAAGAAGGCAATCTTTCATTCATTGTCTCTGCCTCTTCTCCACCACTGTTAAAAAATATCACGGATGAGAAGATCAAAATTATAATACAGAGTGGTACACTATTTCAACCATATTTTTAAAGCCTCTTTTTACGCACAAAAAGAATGTAGCCCTGACGCAAGATACCGTTTCACGACCGTCTTATCTAGAAATAAAACCACTGTTTTTATCTAAAAAGTTTGACACATCCCATCGATACGTCCATGTTGATTTCTCTATTTATTGGTTAATTTAAACATTTTTTTCTTTCAGTGTAGATATCTTCGTTATATAAATTTAAAAGTTTTCGTTATCTAAAATACAAAATATAAATCAAAAAATATAATTTTACAAAAATAAATTGTGTCACAAAATAAGAAAAAATTATTGATTTATTTAAATTAATTTAATATATTATATTTAATTAGTATTCCCACAGCCGAGCAAACAAAGTTTCAGATTATTGCAGACGTAGTATATGTATTTCAATAGAAATATACTGTAATCTTGCAATATTTAGTAAACACATAGCTCGTGTAAGTTTTAAGTTTATATTTATATATATATAACCCACGCATTTTTGTAATATAGTACTTAATAAAATAAAGCTGTTATAATGTAAGGTTGGCTTTTTAACAACACCAGTCAAAATCATTACCGGTGAAGTTCCCAATCGTTACAATAGGAAATAAACTTTAATTATAGTAAGTAATATTTTAAGAGTACGAGTAAAATATATTGTGTAAAACTACTAAGAAATCCCTGTATTACCATTAAAAACAAAATTTTAATTTATTGACAAATAAAAAAGTTTGTAGTTATTAGTTTCAATGATTATAATAATTATAATAATTATAATCATTTTTAAATCGTAATTAACAAAAATATTAATTTAAAAATGTCGTTATTATAAATTTTTAATACTTTTTTTTATTGCAGGACATGATTTGTGTGCTTATCTTAACTTTATTGTTGGTTTATATTCTGTATCGAGTTCAGAAAAATGTTCATTTACCTCCTGGACCTCTAAACCTGCCAGTTGTGGGTTCCCTATTATACTTGGATCCAAAACAACCTCATCTTACATTAACTAAATGGGCCAAGAAATATGGACCTGTTTTTGGAATGAATTTAGGAAGTGTATATACTGTAGTTTTGACGGACCCCAAAACAATCAAATCAGTCTTCTCGAAGGATGTTACCACTTGCAGAGCTCCACTATATGTTACTCATGGGATTATGAAAGGATATGGTAAATAATAATCGTATAATTGTATAATAATATTATAATATATATATATATATATATATATATATATATATATATATATATTAGGGTGGCCCAAAAAAAAAGAATTTTTTTTGTCGTCTCTTGGTTTGTCATTTTAAATCGATATTTTGATTTCAAAAGGGCGCTCAAGATTTTTTAAACTTTTATAGTAGAGTATTTTGAATGTTTTCGAGCGACCTCTGAATATAAATATTAACGAACTTTTATCGACCTTTAGAAATCAAAATATCGATTTGAAATTTACAGAATTTTTATTATTTTTAACCTAGAAAATAATATCGAGACTAGAAAAGAAATTAAAATAAAACAAAAATTCAATTTTAGACAATTTTGGAAATTTTTAAAAATCTTGAACGACTTTTTTTTAATCGAGCTGATATTTTGACAGGGCTCTTACAAGATGTTAAACTAACATATTTTCCCAAGAGACGAGAAAAAAAATATTCTTTTTTTTGGGGCCACCCTAATATATATATTATATATTAGGGTGATTTTAAAGAAACCCCAGCAAAAACGGTAAAATAACGTAACGTAGTGTTACTTTTAAGTTGTAGCAATTATTTTCAACGCTCAGTCGACGCAAAATTTCTTCGTTGGTTTGAACCAAAACATGTTTCACAATCAACACAAATTTAACACTAGTTTTGTGTTCACATCTGAGAAACCCAACTGAACATAAACTTATTTTTTTGGGTTATTTTTTATAAAATGAGGACTACTTTATGTTGATATTTTTTTTTCTCAACACAAACTTTATCATACATTCATTTGTTTCCATATTTTGCTTCGAAATCTATTTTGACCAATCTAATCCAACGTAATATGAATGTAATATACCTAGGTACATCATTCATTTTACTTTTTAATTAAACAATTTTTTAAGAATTCTACTAATATTTTATGTAATACTTATGTAAGTATAGTTATTTTATTTGAAAATTAACATTTATTTTTAACGATGAGTATACTTTATATAATGGAATAGAGTAGATTTATTAGTTCAGAAAAATTGCAATGTTTACAATGTTGAACAAGTCCAAAAAAGTATATATAAATATTCAAAAAAAGTACTAACAAACAAATGTACAAATAAACAAATTGTATTTGTATTTATACAAGAAAAACATTTAGTAATCTGTTTACAAGGTTTAAATTCCCTCAAACTAAGGGGACATCCATTAATTACGTGAGATAAAAATAGGGGGGGGAGGGGTCTAGCAAAATCTCACCAAATCTCATGTTAAGGGAGGGGGGATCATTAAAAATCTCACGTCAACTTTTGGGTTTAAAGAATATGTATTATAATTCAAATTTGTCAAAAAAAGTAATCAATTTTTATTATTTGGGTTTATCATGATGTCCGCAAAGAAAGTTTAATGGCTAGAGTCTGAGACTCACGTGAGAGATAGGGGGTCTACCCATCTCACCAAATCTCACCAAGGGGGAGGGAGGGGTCCAAATTATCAAAAAAATGCCTCACGTAATTAATGTCCCCTAAGGTCTTTTATGGTTTTTGGCTATTTATTTTATAAAATTAAAGCAAAGTTTTGAATACTCCTGTGAACGGTGCGGGTCCTTGTTTGATTAATTAACACTAAATCTTTATTTCTAATGAAGTAGGAATGTTGTCTACTGGAATTGTTAAAAATAAAACTGTTTTATGCCATATTTTTAATTGGAATAAACAAATGCATAATACACATTTAGGAGTGTCATAAAACAACAAATCTCATTGATTTTTTTTAAAACACTATCTGTTTGTTCCTTCCATAAAAATTTGTTGTCCAAAATAACACCCACAAATTTAATTGAAGTACCTACTCAACTTGATGGTACATTTATTATTAATATTAATATTGTTATTGGTAAACCCATACTCTCCAAATTTTATATTCTGTGTTTTGTCAACATTTAACTTAAGGTCATTATTTTAAAACCATTATTAGAGCATTTTTTTAAAGGATTTCAAAATTGAAGTAGTATCATCTGCATACATAAAAATATTGTCGTGGCATTGGCATTGACAAAATAAATAAAAGTGGAACAAGAATTGAATCCTGAGAAATATATTTTTTTAACTCCACTGTGTTGAAATATAACTCCAACCCATTTTCCGATAATATTTTTACCCTTTGTTGGTTGGTAAGATAGGATTTAAATAGATTTAGCGCAGTACATCTTATGCCATATCTTTCTAATTTCAACTTCAATAGTTGTTATCCATGGTGTCAAAGGCTTTGGACAAGTCAAAAAAGGCAGATCCTATCAACAAAATTGAATATTGCTAATTCCGTATTACTACCTTTAACAAAACCATATTGATGTTTAGAAATTATACAATGTTTATTACAATATTTTATCAATCTTGTAGAAATTGCTATTTCCAGTATTTTTGAAAAAATAGGTAATAAGCAATTGGGTCTATAGTTATTAACATTAGTCAGCACCCTTTTTATGCAAAACCCTGACTTTTTCCAAAATAATATTTTTGGGTTTAGAGACTAAAGTTTTATTTTTATTTATTAATCTCCACATTTGTTGCTGGTTGTTTGAAGCATTGTCTATAAGTTTTTTATTATTTTAAATTATTTTTTAAAATATTAAATAAAAAGTTTATTTTTGCCAGGTAAGTTTAAATTGTTTTTAATATGGATTTTTTGTTATAGGTACATATTAATTTAGGGCAGGAATTGTTTTAACCCGTGAGCTTTATTAAAAAATATGTACCGACCAAAAATGGGTTAAAAATGTATAGGGGGGGGGCAAGGGGGTAACTTGACCCGCCCAATGATTTTTTTAAATTAGTTTTCTTGTACCTCTATGTATATATATATATATATATATATATATATATTTATATATATATATATATACAAGGTGTCCCTAAACTTAGTGGCATAAATTTAGGAGCAGATAAAGCAAGTCAAAATAAGACGAAAATCTAAATAAATATTTTTACTAATTACGTATGTTTAAAAGATACAGGGTGATAAAGTGTTACTTATCATATCAGTTTTTTTAATATAACTTCTACTGTGGTAGACTTGGAAAGGTGATATTTTGCGAAAAGTCACTTACTACCAAAACACATACTCACACATAATTACAATTGTTCGAGTGAACACAGCGTCGTAGAAACAGGGGTTGCTTAAGCTTATTGTCCCATACTAACTTTGAGGTTATATACCATTTGATGCAATTTTTCGATTACTCAGTTTGGCTACTATTAAAAGGGTGTACCTCTCAAACTTCGATAAAATAAACCGTTTCCGAGATATTCGAGATTTCAATAATTGTTATATCGCATTAAAGGACTAGAAGGTATATGATAACAAATTTTTTAATTGAAAAAACTATTATTTTTTTAAGGTGACGGTCAGGGCAAAAAGTCCTGAGGCTCATGGAATGCTCTTTTTAGTTTTTTCAATTAAAAAATAAAATTTGTTATCATATTCCTTTTAATCCTTTTAAATAATGCGATATAACAATTATTGTAATCTCGAATATCTCGGAAACGGTTTATTTTATCGAAGTTTGAGAGGTACACCTTTTTAATGGTAGCCGAACTGTGTAATCTAAAAATTGCATCAAATGTTATAAAAACCTAAACTCAAAGTTTGTATGGGACAATAAGCTTAAAGCAACCCCCGTTTCTACGACACTGTGTTTACTCAAACAATTATAATTATGTGTGAATATGTGTTTAGGTAGTAAGTGACTGTTCGCAAAATATCACCTTTCCAAGACTACCATAGTATAGGTTATATTAAAAAAACTGATATGATATGATGAACACTTTATCACCCTGTATCGTGGAAACATAAGTGATTAGGAAAAATATTAATTTGGGTTTTCGTGTTATTTTGACTTTCTCAATCTTTTCCTAAATTTATGCCAATAAGTTTAGGGACACCTTGTGTATGTTAGCGTTAAGGTACTTAAGAGCATACCAAGCAAGGGCAAGAGAATATAAACAAATGAGGGCCTACGTACCCACATTAGTTTTAAGGGCAGTGTGTCTGACACTATGAAAACGATCTGTTGAAATTGTTAGTTAGAGTAAAGTTATAGTTTTGAATAAAGACTTATAGAACTATGAAATTAGTTTAAACCACCATTAGTAAAATAACATTATTGTTATTTATTTAAAACATCAGAAGTGGGATAAGTGATATGTACAGTGATCTACAGAAATGAATGATACTAGTGTAAACACAGTTGTGTAGGAAGTGGTGAATTCTGACGATGGTGTTGCTTCGCCAAGTTCCAAACCCATCAAAGAAACATTGCAAGAGAGGTTAGAAAACATGGTAGTTTCATAACAGCTACAGATTGCGGAGTTATTAAAATACGCCAAATTACAGACATCGGCGTCCTCAGTGCGAACGCCTTGCTCTGTCTCAACAGACAGAGCCAGTGCGCAAGCGTCAGCAGAATCAACGCCCTGTTTAGTCACAGAGGACAGATCGATTGCGCAAGCGTCACCCAGGTAGCACAACGTAACGAAATCTTGACGTAAACGAGACGTTTTCAGTCAGTCGTGACTTGGACGTTATTTAAAAATCGTAACGTATTTAATTAAAAACAGTTGCCAAACCGCGCTAAATTTAAGCATAGTTTTTGTGACGAATACGTTACATTAATTTGAATAAAAATCTTCACGATGTAGTTAAGAATACGCCATGGATTCTTCACGATGATTTGTCACGACGCTTCTTTACCGAATAGTGAACTGAACTGGTCACGTAATTGTGGCGTATAGTTGCATTATTTGGGGGTGTAATAATATTGTGTAGTGTAATGCAGTGCAGTACGGTATAGTGGGTTGTTTTGTGTATTGTGGAATTATTGCTTACCTTCAAAGTTTTGTAATTTGATTTTAACCTCATCATCAGGTTGAAATCAAATTACAAAACTTTGAAGGTAAGCAATAATTCCACAATACACAGAACAACCCACTA